CCAAAACAAAACTTCTCTCTGTTAATAATCTGAGAGACCACTTTCTACCTTCCATCAGCATGGCTGATGCTAAACCCCAGGAGAGTGATTTGTTGCAGCTTTCAAGCTAACATTCTCGGCTGACGTGAAGTAGAAAGACTAAATTGAATCCATTGCTAGGTCAGCTTCTAAGAAAGTTGGTTCACTGTGTCATGCGAGATATTCAGAATATTTATAAGTCTACCATTCAGTCATGCTTAGAATATTGCTGCCACATATGGTCCAGTGCTCCTGCTATGTATTTAGAGCTTCTTGATAAAATTCAAAGAAGAATCAGCAATATTATTGGTCCTGATCTGGTATCTCGGCTTCAGTCACTTTCCCACTGCCGTGAAGTTGCTTCCCTGTGCCTTTTCTATAAATACTTTCATGCTAATTGTTCGGATGAGCTCTCCTCTATAGTGATTGTGTGTGTGTGTGGGGGGGTGTTATTACTAATCTTATTTTTCTTTAGTTTCTTGTAAATAGTTTGTTTGTGTTCATATTGTAAATACTCAGTGGGGCTAGTTTTTAGAATTGTTGTTTTATCCCCCCCCAGACAATGGATTGTAAATATGGGGACTAGTTAGTATTTTCATAGAGACAGTGAGGTATTTTGGTGGTTGTAGTAAGAAAGCTACGTATGAATGTGTTATTTTGGTGTAAGGAATATTGTTCGCACGATTGGGTCATTGTTTGCGGCTAGCTAAATTATAATTAAGTCAGAAGAAGACCGTCCTTTCTTCAATCCCTTGTGCCACATTTCTGTAGGAAACAGAATAAATATCGATCTCCTCTATAGCGCGTAGACCTTATGAATTTAAACGCAGTATTAGGTTGTCCATAAGTTCTCATCTATTTACAGTTGAATTGGGCTAGATGAAACCGTAATTACTTTGCTAACAGTTTCTGTTCTCGCACCCCTTGCTTGTGGAACTCTCTTCCGGCTTCACACTTTCCGAGACAACTTTGATCTTCCACAATTTAAATGTCAATCGTTATCTACTGTTTTCCTGAGTATACACATCAATTGTTCTCACGCCTTAGTAATATTTCTATTTTCTAATTCGTTCACACCCAGTAACCCCTTGCGTCTTATTGGCTTTAGTATTTTTCTTCGGGTGAATTCCTTTAAAAATAGCTGTCGGTACGCTGATACATTTCTTTTGAAAAAGATGCGTAGTACTCAGGAGTGTCCAAATATAACAAACGCCTATTTTCAAAATCGCACTGCGTGAAACAGCCTGTTAATGTGTCAATAAAAATATTTGTATGTGTGTATACATATTATTATTATTATTATTATTATTATTCATATCTTCATTATTTTACATAATATTTGGAAGTATGAAGTGTTTCATATACACTGAAAAACCCTACGTGATTTCACAGAATGCGAAGACCAAGAGTAAAATGGTCAGCGATTGGCCGGAGTGCCTCGTTGGTGGGGTATTCTGACGCTGGTGGATTGCTTTTGTCTGGGTTTTGAATATGATTCCAAAACGGCGCGAATGTAATAAGTTATTTCTATTTGTTTTCTTCATTCTCTAGTCAGACCTTGCTTGTAGCACACAAGACTTTCGAGTCTTCTTCGAATAGGTCCTATGCTTAGCTGAGCAAACTGCCAAAGAGGAAGAGTTCAGAGTGAAGATAAAATTATGTTGCCAATTTCTCTCTATTAACAACACTTATAGCCAGGCAAAATTTCATGTTCTCAGCATCAGTGTTTCCTGAGATATAAAACTTCCTTACTTTGTTGTCTGGTCTGCAAAAATATACAGATATCACGTGACCATCTTGAAAGCGCCACACAATGAGAGCAAGGTCTGAAAGCAACAAATGGGTTGATCGGATGTATTCGAAAATATTTGTCCGACTGTTACCTCTCTCTTTCCATCTCTCCCTGCAGACAGTTTTATTTATGAAATTCAATTATTGGTCGGTAAATTGGGGGTGATTCATTAGTGATTAGTATTTTATTCACTATATGTTATACCAGGACATACCTATTCTATTGTAAATAGACTCTCCCAGATATAATAAGTAGTAGTAGTAGCAGTCGCCAGGGGGCTCAGTGGAGTTGGTGTTGTCAGTCGATGTCGGACATTAAAGTATCAACCACCACAACTAGATTGCTACGTCATTAACTATTATTTCAAGTTCCTAACGTTTTGTACGTCGAACCTTTTTTTAGGACCGACTTAGTGAAATACAAGCCTCCACAGTGAAAACTACTGTACAACACTATAAGAGGCATATAGAACTGGTAGGTCTTTGTTTTGTGTTATTTTTATGTTATCTAGTGTTTCACCTGCTATATACATGACTACTAATATATGTCAGCTGATAATGGGGAAATATGGCTACGTTTTACTTCAGGTTCATTATTTCAGACCTGGTTTGCAAATTATCTCCCATAAATAAATTTCCCCAGGTGGTCCAAATAAGGACCTTTCAATTTTCAAAAGAGGGGACCATAATCTTTCTAAAAAAAAAAAAAAAATACCATATTTAACTTGGTAACGTTTTTCCCGGTGAAAATTGATATCGACTAGACTATACCCTTCGCATGTCAATCTTTCGTTGTTCAATCTCTTGTGTCTGTCTTAGGGTGAGCATTGATATCGACCAAACTAAGAGGGTCGCAAGAATTCTGAAGCGTCGATACGTCTCCCACATCTAAGTTGATAGACCGGCTAAGACCACTCTAGGATGGACGCTGAGCCAACGTGCGACATGCGCTCCTGTGGCGTCATTCCTCCTACTTCCTGTTAGAATCCAAGCTACAACCCCTCTCTCCAAATAAAACAAATAACAAAAATAAATGGCCCTATTCGTTGACATTGTTTTTTTATTTAGTAGCGAGAAGAACCAGGAAACGACATAGAACGCAACAGTGGTCAGGAGAAAAGTTAAATGGACCTCACCTATTATTCAAAACGAAACTCTTGATATCGTAGCTGAGGTTGTTTTATACAGCATAGCAAACGATGTGAAGACGTGTTCAGGATATTTACTTTTTGCTGATGAAACGTCAGACGTCAGCAGTGTTGAGTGAGTCGCAATATTCTTCAGATGAAAGAGAAACCAGGCATTCTTTCGTAGAATTTTATGCAACGTCTTCTACTGAATGGAGTGTTCTCTATGAGTTAGTCAAAAATGTAAGCGGGAAGCAGAAATGGAAGCTTGACAAAGTTGTTGAAGAATGTTTTGAAGGCGTAGCAAAAATGAACGAAGGTTTGGCAACAAGAATGAAGGTTTATTTTCCACTTGTCATCTATGTTCATTGTTATAGTCACCTATTTATTTAAAAAAAAAAACAAAAAAACTTCTCCACATTGCTTAAAGGATTATTCAGAGCTTCTGCAACTTTCTAGAAGCCAGTCCCAAACGGCATGCATTCTTTGAAAGCATTACGCTCGATGGAGAAAAATCTCAAAGTGTGCTTGCGTAAATATGAAGAAAGGAAAGCCGTGGTCGAGAAATCATAAAACAGTTAACAAATGATCAAAACCGATAACAATGGATCATAGAATTCCCTGTGCGTTTTCGACTTCGTAATGTGGTTCTACAGTAGGATATTGAGAATTACATGGACGGGGCAAGTAGCAAAGAGAAAGTTTTAAAGAAAATGGCAACAAAAAGAACACATATTCCGAATGAGGAAGAGACAACTGAAATTCCTTTGGTTGGAGAACTTGCCTCTTACAGAGCATATCGAGTGTAAGAGAGATAGAGGAAGGCAGCGGGCCACTTACCTGACGAGCTGGTGTGAATTGATAACGGGACAGCGAGGTGGGGGGTAGAGTTAGCAAACATAGGAAAACTGTTAAGGGATACAAGGGATAGGAAATTTTGGAGAGCCACGATCGCCCATGTCCTGAAGGGACGCGGCACATAGAAGAATAAGAATTAATTGATTTGATTTAATCGATTTATTTTCTACGGCTTATCAACCCTTTTTAGGTTATTTAAAGCCAGAAAATATTTTTGATTGTAACAATTTTTTTTAGATAATAATGATTTAAATTTTATTAATTAACCCATAACTGGGGGGGGAGAAGTGGTGGATTCATGCATTTCCTATACTCAAGGCTATTTGCGCGAATATAACTAACCCGAGTGGAATTAGAACTCGTCACTCCGATTAGCAATTTCAGGCCATTATACACCCTTGTGCAAATTAATTGAAACAACTGCTTTAGTTTCTTTTCTCTCATCATACGGTTTTAGACCGACTGGAGTGACAGGGTGTAATCAATTTCTATTTTTTCTTCAGATTAGGTCATTTGCAGTGGTGTGCAGTAATATGAGTCTATTTTCTGGGTGTATGATGAATTTTGTCTGGCCTTGAAAAATATTGCGTCATCCGTGATTGCATCAGATTTTTGTTACGCGCAGTCACTACTGTCTCGAGTGCCGATTAGTTGTCCTACAGCCATTGTTTGCGATGGATGTTATTCCAAGGAAGCGTACAAAAATTGTAACAAACACACTGGCAAGCCTTACTGTTGTGTCATGGCACAATAGTAAAAATAAGAAAATCAAGTCGAAGTTGGTTTAAGGAACAAGTTTATTTAACATCACAGATACAAAGGTAGGAAACGGGTACTACTCAGCTAGGCAGTTGTAGTACTGTCGCTGCTTACGCCGGGTAGGTATTACTGGCACTATATATAGTGAAAACCGGTGTAATTCCCTTGTGTTAGAGGCCGGTGCAACACTTACCAATGAGCAAACCAAAGTACTATAGACTGGCCCGGAAACTGTCCTGATTTAAATCCAATTGAGAATCTGTGGTCAATCTGCAAGGAACGACATCGTGGAATGGACATATGAAGTACTATCATGTGCACTGGGTCATGTTTTATTGGAAAAATACGAAAAAAAGTAAATGATTAAAAAATTATAATTAATAATTATTCGTTTTGTTTCAATTAATTTGCACAAGGGTGTACATCACACCATCCACACATCTAAGCATATAGCACCTAGTATTCGCAAACGGTCACCTAACTAGGTACTGACCAGGCCCGATGTTGCTTAACTTCGGTGATCGTACAAGAACTCGTGTTTCAACGTGATGTGGCTGTAAGCCCAATAAGGATTGGATTTGTTGTGTTGAGAGTAATCCTGTCGAACATCAACAGTCATAGGGAAATACTGTAGATATTAGAACAACTAGAAAACGGCTACAGTAACCAGAGAAAGTCTTAGTAACTATAGATTTGGAAAAAAAAAAACTTTAAAAGTGTTTAGAAAAGTGATAAAATGTTATATAAATAGTCGTGTGGAATTTTCACTGAAATAGTTATATATTCCGACGTATTTCTGTTGCAGTAAACGGCTTTCAAGGAAATATGAAGAATAACAAAAAACAAAACGTAACTCTAGAGACCGTGTATTAGTGCCACTGACATCAGAATGTTTGTATATTTGTGGAGTGTATGTATGCGTAGCAAAAGTAGAGAAAAAGTCGCCGAAATACAGATCCTACTTTAAATCTGTTCACATAATATTCACCTTGTGCAGGTTCGAGAAGAGGGAAAGAGAGAGTTCTTTTTTTTTTTAAAATTCAGCTCTGCTTATATTCTATCGTTTCATGTGTCGTGTCTTGTGACCCCATATCCAAGGGAAAATAACATAACCCTTTTGCCACTCATATGTTATTTATCCACGTGTCTATGTGAACTTTACAGTTATAAGAATCCTTCTCGATCATCACTCGAGAAAGAAAAGTTGCTTCACTCTGTCACGGTCGACAATTTTTTTTTTTTTTTTATAAACGTACCATTTGTTAGTGTATTGAATATTGTTGCTATATTTGGTCTGGTGTTTCTGCTTTGTATCTATAGATTCTATAAAAAGTCCAAAGAATCTGCAATGTTATCAGTCCTCACCTGGCATCCGACTTCAGTCACTTTCCCACCACCGTAACGTAGCTTTCCTATGATTATCTACAAATATTTTCGTGGCAATGTTCTAATGAGCTTTTCACTTTGGTACATCAATTTTATGAATTTAAGCGCAGTACTAGATTGGCAGTTAGGTCTCATCATTTTACTGATGAATTTGATAAGTGTAACCACACGTTCTGGTCGAAAAGTTTCTTCTCTCGCACTTTCCGCCTGTGGAATTCTCTTCCGATTTCTTGATTGCTTGTTTGCTACGGTCATCAAAAATTTAAAATCAATCGTCATTTTGTGTGTGTGTGTGTGTGTGCGTGTGCGTGTGTGTGTGTGTGTGTGTGCGTGTGTGTTCGTGTGTGCGTGTGTGTGTGTGTGTGTGTGTGTGTGTGTGTGTGTGTGTGTGTTTTAAAATCCTGTTCTTTTTTTGGACTTTTTCCCTCATTAACGTCTTCTTATTTTCTTTCATTTTCATTAATCTTTTGGGTCTTAGTCTGTGACTTCATCACTTTGCTTGGGGTAATATGATAAAAAAAAAATATAGAAGAATAACAACTAATAATTTAAGCAAGATAAGCTAGCTTATCATTGTACTAGATCCGCCTTCAATAAGTAAGTATTCAATCTGGTTACAATTAATGTTAGATAAACTAGTAACAATAGTTCAATTATGGCGATCTGAGTTTTCAATGAAGCCGAAGGTATCCTTTTCAAAATAATGTGATATGATTCCAATTATTTTATTCAATTCGTTGTCTTCCATCAGGAGTGTATGTCCGTGAAACGTTAGCCAAACCAAATATTCATACAATTTAGCAAATGGGAATGTTTACTGGACAAAAGAAAGTTCAAGCGTATTGACAAGTTGGCATAGAGTTTTAGTTGTCGATGAGTCTTTTTATCTCTACCCGCTCAGTTTATCTCTTTGTGGAAAGGGAGTCGCTTAGTACAGAACTGTTTAAAAAAAGTTGACTGACTACGACCTCTTGCAAAGTTTCGTATTTTGCTGTTTTGAGATGAGGAGATGCAGACTTGACGAGTTTTAAATTTACTCAGAGGAGTAACAATTGGGCTGAAATGAAACTTTTTATATCACCTCACCAGCTTTCTACAACATCCGAGAATTAAAAATATTTTTTTAGACTTTATTTTTGCGGCCTTTGAATCTTGTTATATATATATATATATATATATATATATATATATATATATATATATATATATATATATATATATTGAATCAAATATAAATCAAATATGGACTGGAATCCGACAGAATGATAGGAAACGCTTATAAATCTAACAGATATTTCGTTTTATCTTCCATATCTCATCAGAGAATGAAATGTGGAAGGGGAAAAGAAAATTCTGTTGTTTTAATATGATGCACGTGAAGTTTGCTAAACCAATAAAAAAAAACAAACAGCACAAAACTAAAAAATACCTATGAAAGTCTTGATGTGTATATAGCTGTGCTTGAATATTTTTTTTTTATGGAAGGAAAGGATTGTAATTGGTGTAGACTAACCAATTGCCGCTAATACTAAGTGATAATGAAATATGTTACAGTGGCCGGAGTGAAAAGGAATGTGTTGGCCGAACACAAGGAGTAAGGCAAGGATAACTTGATTTTCTGTGATGTATCCACTTCGGCAGACCTTCCCTTTGTTGACATTATCGAGTCATATTTTGTTTTATTTTATGTGATCTGATGGATTTAGGAAATTGGATCCGATTTCATTGATTAATTGAAACCATGTTTTTGTCACGTTGTAGGCTTACATTTACACTCACACAAACTTTAGGTAATTTAAGAAGACTATAACTTGAGATGATAGGAGCTGTATTTGAATTTGTTAGGAATGTGATTGGTTGTTTATTAATGCTTAGATCTATTTTTAGTCCTATTTTTAGAACTGATGAAATTGTATTTACGACATCTGGCTTCGGCCAGAAAGGTTTCAAAATAACATTAGCTCAAGCGCTAAGGAGGCACTCCCCGCCCAGGCAGTACCGCTTCTTCGGGAAGTGACTGGACTCATTACTCGGCGCTTGAGGTGTCCCCAAAAGAGTAAGTGCCGAGGGGGGCTTCAGCACATTTTCCACCGTATTACCGGTAAACCCACTTTAAACTGACCTTGTGTCACATTCGGTTGCGACGTGGACTCACAGACTGGACTCAAACATATGCTTTTTAAAGAATAATTTTTAATATTAGAACAATGAATCAACATCATCATTGTAGCATATTTTAGTTTAGCGTTCCAAATAATCACACTTGTGGCGGGTGGGGGGAAACAGTCACAAACAAATTACTGATTATCGTAGCCGATTTTTTTTCTACAGTATCAACATTCAGTATCTTTTTATATTTCTGAGATGAGGTATTATTATGTACACCATTTACATTATTCGGACTATTGTCCTCATCTTTGTCGCCATATTTATCACAACGTTTTGGCCGATGTACGCTCCGGCATTCTTCAGGTGGTTGGAATGTCGAACTGAACCCTTCATTTATTTGGGGTAGACTGTTCTAGTTCCACGTGCCATGTCTAATGCATGTCAGTTAACAGTTATCTCCTGTTAATTCAACTCTCCAAGATATTGAACTCACAACACTTTGGGTGAATTTCTAGGACTTTATAAACTTAATGTCTTCAGCAACCTTTTTTTTTTACAAGAGCTCATATTGCAGAAATTCATCCGCAAATGTCTTTGAAGACACATGGCACAGTGGATAAAGGCGTTGGTTAGATCCAGTGGCAGGACCTAAAGAGTTGTGAGTTCAATACCTGGTTAAGGCAGTGGAGAACTTGGAGAGGTGAATTAACAGGAGATAACTGATAACTGACATCCATTAGATATGGCACGTGGAACTAGAACAGTCTACCCCAGTGAGCGAAATAAAGGGTTCAGTTCGGCATTCCAACCACCTGAAGAAGGTCGGAGCGTATAACGGCCGAAACGTTGTAATAAATATGGCGATAAAAATGAGGACAATAGTCCGAGTAATGTAAATAGTGAAGTATAAATAACCTTGTAACATGATGGTATAAATAAATAAATGTTCAGGATTCCTATTTTGATGGATTTAAAATACTAAAATACAAACTGAGAATTGCTTTTAGGCGGTCATTGTACATATCTCGATTCTACGGGAACAATTTTATTATCAGTCTATCTTTCCTTAGATAGTTTAACCCTTTTCATGCTAAGTTATTCATCATTATCTTGTTTTCATTGATTTTCCAAGTCGTTATTATTATTATTATTATTAATTACCAGCAACACAAATTAATGTACCCCAGTGAGCGAAATAAAGGGTTCAGTTCGATATTCCAATCACCTGAAGAAGGCCGGTGCGTACAACGGCTGAAACTTTATAATAAATATGGCGGAGCGTACAAATAATGTAATTGGAGTGTCAAAATTTTGTCAATGTCAGTTTATTTTAAATTCAATTTACAAAATAATTTCGAAAATCAAAACAGAACAAAAATAATAATAAAAAACATTTAAAAAAAGAAGCGTACCTCTATGTCTAAAATAAATACATCTTATGAAATACTTTTACTCTGATGACGTTTCTCGTTTCATTAATCGTCTGCCACTCAAAATATTTAATTTTCCCATTTACTTCCTCTTGAATTTCTGACGTGAATACTAAATATCTCCGCCCCTTTTTTGAATTAAATTTTATGAAAGTTAATTGGTGGGGGATCCAGTTTGCTAAGTTCGTTGTAAAATTAATTCCCTTATGGAAGCCAAAACATATGCTCTCATGCGATGCGATTTTTAAAAATGTAAAATAAAATTTGTAATCTGCAATTCTTTTTTCATATACTATCCAGATTACGATGTTAAAAAAAAAAAAAAAAATCTCATTTTCAATAATTCTGTCGTATGAGAAGATTTGTTTTTCACCTACCGCAGGTCGGGGGATAAACAATGAATTTATTACTTTACATCGCAAATTAGACCACCAATTAACTTTTATAAAATATTTTTTTTATCTAAGATATTCGTGATCCGGGGTGCTTACAGAGATTAAAAAATATATTTAAAAAAACAAACTATTATTTCCTGTTGCACCGCTTATAATACAACTCCGGTTGAATTGACCTTTATGATCGCCCCAAATATTTTTTGACTCGGGTGTGTTATTTCTAAGTGTGAGGTCACCTT